ACGTCAGTTTTATTTTCCCAACCTATTATTCAGCTCTGATTACGTGATGTTAAAAAACTTAATGAGTTCGGTGATTCCATTCTTGCAGCATTATATAAACTACTTTGGCGATCTACAAATCGGTTTATCTTAACCTCTTTGGAGAACTCTAAAAATGGATACTACTATCAAAGAAAACCTGCCTTATTAAAATATTGCAAAGGAAATTTTTTTGTCCTTATTTCTTTAAAATTAATTTGTTCGAAAAAAGAAACAATTAGAAATTCCTTGAAATGAAATATGTTTTCTTCTGTTCCACCAATAAATCCATAATTTAGGAGACCCTAGTAGAGGCCTTCGTGACCTGGCAAAAGGTCAACCAACGACTGGACATTGTGAGTCCCCTTCATCGTCGATTGCCCCTACCTCGCGGTCTCCACAGCGGGGTACTAATGGCCTCCATTAGCCTATCATCCGCCAACGGGAAAGTTGGACGCCTCCTTCGTGCAGGCACACGTGTCCACGTGCGTGCCAACCGTCCAGCTGACTTGATGCATAGAGAATGGTTCCTAGTTGATCGATCAAAGGGCAAGGAACCGGGAGGTCTGGTAATTGCCTCTGTTCCCTCCGCCTTTGTGTGGTTGGACTCACCTGAAACATCACCGGAAAGGGTGGTGGTTGGCGACGAGGTGGTGAGAAGGAAGGTGGAAGTTCGAAGGAGCCAGTCAGCGTCAGCGATACCACAGGGACCAAATAATGTAGGAATGGTCGAAGAGTGAGTTATTGCCTCATGTAAAAAGTGGAAGAGTGTTAGGTAAATCCAAAATCTAGTTTTTTTGCCGATATGTGGAGGTAAAAACTTCCTTAATTTGAATTACCGGCATTCGTAACATGGCATAGGAGAGGTACCTAACACAAATTTCTCTAACAGTGGACTGTGGGTCTTTCGTAAAACTTTACAGATAACTCTCGAGTGTAATTCTCAAAATAACGGTGTTATTTTAGCCTCCCATAATTGTGTATTTGCCAGCTGTGATAAACTACCCTTCGGAAGGATTTAATGGTTAAAGCCACAAGAACAATGGATCTGATAATGAATGAGGCATTTGGGCATTGGTGTGGTCTTACCCTCAAAGATATTTTAGAATTACCATTTCTTGTCAGAACTCTGTCCGTCGGCTAACACAACGTTAAGTGAAGTAATTATGAATAAGTGTTTTTATTAAACATTTACTGTCATATGATAAAGCATGACAGAGAGATTCATCTGCTTGGCTTTACCAAAACTTTCACTTTGCATTTGAGATAGGCGTCAGAGAGTCATTTCATCCACGACAGTATACATAACTAAAAATCGTTCTTGTTAAGTCAAATTTAAGAGTATCATGTGAGTCCTCATGGTTCAGAGTGGAAAGTCTTTCCCAATGCTTTACAGCTAGCTCTAAGTGGTTTATAACTAAAATCATTTCTGTGCGGTAAGTTCTGCAGCACACCGCAAACCTTCTCCAACTGTGAAGTATCCGGGTTTTTAAAGCAGATAAAACTCGGGTTAAAAGTAAAAGAGGATGACTGGCATTCATCAGGTTTTGTACAACCGCACATCATAAATTGAGAGGTGAAAGAGAGAACACTGAAAATGTCTTATATCGAGAGATTTAAGCACACACAGAATGCCTCTTTAAGGCGTCGGTACGAGTCACACCTGGTCGGTACAAGGGGCTATGCTAAAAAAGGTGGAAGAAAAATTCCGGTTATTTTAGGCATTCTGGAAACTTCAAATTACCTAAATTTGCAGTAAAAATTTTCCTTCCCAGATTCGTAATTCCCAAGCCTATAATAAAGCCTACGTGTTGAAAGAATCAGTTTTATTTTCTCATTCTTTGCCTTTTAGCCTGCGAAAACACCTCTTTGAAGTGTGGGAAAAGGCCTGTTCAAGATTTGACCAAATTCTGCGAGCAACGAGCACCTCATTGCTCACGAACGCACTCACCGATTCACAGGTAACGGCTAATATCAAATTTTTCCTTCTTTTACTTGAAAGACGGCATTGAGTGCAGAGGAGCTGGCACGCTTTGACAAGGCGCTACAAAGGGTATCGAAATTTATCAAAATTTTTGAGTTCACCCAAGCGGAGAGGTCGGAGAGCTTGGCGCATCTCCTCGACGACATGAAATTGCGACGTGATGGTAGGGGTAGTCTCCAGAATAAACGTCAATTTCCTGAGTCACCTAATGTCTCGATTTAATCGACTTTTCTTTTTTCGCAAATATTCCAAATAATAGGTGGGTTCGCAAATGTCGATGTCAACGCCTTGGACGCTCTCGTTCAAGCTATCGATATTTTCGAGGTAATTCGTAAAAACTCCTTGACAGTTTATGTCACTTTAATTCGAAAAACATGCCCATTTCAGTTGTAAAATCAAAACCATTTTTAAAACCAGTAAATGGGTTAACTAGTGGATCAAAAGTTCAGGTTACATATTATGGAAAGGAAATTAAGTAATGCGCTTTCTTGCTGAACACAAAGAAATAGGTATTTACAACACATTTGAAGACAAGTGGTTTGCCGTTGGTCGTTAGCAGATCAGTCATGTCATGCGATTAGTAGCATTTGGAGGTCACATAATTACCATCAAATTGAGTCCCTATCTTCGTCAAGTACTTTCCTAAGAATTCAACAGGATTCCTGTCCTGCAAAGTACCACAGAACCGGCTACATCACTAGGCTTATTCTAAAATCTGCACAAATTTGCCTTCAAATATTTTCCACTTATTAGCCATTAGTAGCCACCCCAACAAAAACTAGAACGGTGTTGTCCTTGACACAGAAAACACATACGAAAAGAACGCTTCTAGAGCTAATTCAACTCTGCTTGCAAGAAAACTTATTCTTTTAAACAAAGGGGAGCTCAAGTTGAAATGGCGCTTTTCTTTGACATAAGGAGACTTGCTCGAAACATTCCATTGATAACTTCCAAAAAGCACATTTATAATCCATGCTTGTAACATTGAAACGTGAGACAAATTTTGTTTTTTGTCAATTAAGTTCAAAGGGCATAAAATTAGGAAAATATTCCAAGCATCTGGCCAATTTAAGGCCTTTTCCAAACAGCATTACTTTGGTCTGGCTAAAGTTAATCATGAAAATTTTTTGATGAATAACATTCAGTTGTCCTTTTCCAGTAAGATATAACCTTTAATTCCATATTTGGAGCACATTCTGCTTCTAGCGGCCACAAACCAGCTTGAGCCAAATCCATCTTTTGTCTGTCCTACATTTGATTTTCTAATGCTCAAAGGTGGTGATTGTGTTGGCGTAGCAGAAAGTACGCGTTCCTACAATAAAAAGGCTTTAAAAATCTGCGCTAAGCGCCAGTAACCCAGGAAGATAATGCTCTATCTTTACGAAAGTCGGTGAGAACAGGGCGCCTTTCCATCAATTCACGCGCAACGCGTTTATTCAAACAAGACACGAAGCATCCACGCTTAGATCACCATTTAATTCTGAGAGGCACATTCTTCCACAGCATACTGTCTCATCTCAATATAATTCCATGAGAAGCTTCTGCAGTCAGGGGATCAAGTCAAACATCACTCATAGAAACAGAAGCTCGGAAGTCACATCGTTAGGCTCTAACAACTGACTTTCCGAGCTTTGAAATTTTGAAAACGGGCGGAAAGTGGTTGAGAGCACAATATCAGAATGGTGTACGGATATAATAACTTCTGTTAGCTAACAATCTGTCATCTTTACTGATTGAAAGTATGTCAGATACTCGACAAATTGACAGCCTCCTTCCCAGCTAAAGTATGCTGCCTACTTAGTAAGAATTTTTAATACTTTTTAGGAAATGGTTGTCTGTTATCAGCGCTATTGCTCCTTGAAAACCTTAGAAACTCTCTCGAAAGAGGAGGTTGAAAAGAGGTAAGTAGTGTCAAAGAATTGAAAAATTCCCTTATTTGAGGGCATTTGCACTATGATTGAGCAATTTTTTTTTCAGCTGGTATGAGACCTCGGAAAAACTGGACAATACGTCAAAAGGCTCAACCGAGTCCCTCCAAGCAAGTATAGTACCTCTGCTCCAATCTCAACCACCTGTCCATGCGAGTCCAGTCAACGCGAAAGTGTCACATAAGACTTCCTCAAGGGCTTCAGATTCTACTAAATCACCCAAGACAGCTCACCCCAAATATAGACACAGATCTCTCCTTGTCGATGGTCCTGATGTTGAGAACGGTTGTCCCTATTCACCGGCTTCATCAAGTGGATATGGAGAACACAGTGTTTCATGGATTTCCCGACCTTCGAAGACTGATAAAGGCAACCAAGCGACGAGATCCCCCTCAAGGGGTCGAAAGCGTGATCGGTTCTATCGCTTTCTACCTATCCTAATACGTCGTCACACACAAAGCAAGAAGAAGGCCAAAGTCCTGGGCGATGGAGAAATGGGGTTTTCTGACAACGAAGCGAGTCTTCTGAGATCGCGTATTCCATCTGCTTCATCGAAGAGGCTTCACCGTCCCTATGAAAGTCTAACTCTAGATCGGGTAAACTATACGAAGAAATCAGACTTAGCCAAGTTGCATCGAACGCCTTTACTCCTGTCCACCTCTGCATTATTGAATTTTGAGGATAGAGATGCTACGCCTACGGGGACTTCAACACTTCGTCGACATCCACATTGGCGTGGAAATGGATCGCCACAAAGACCTTCACTCCTCTACTCCGTCGCTTGCCAGAATGGTGTTTGTGTGAGTTGCAAGATGACCGAGATGGAACACCCGGTAAATGAAGAGTTCATTACCCGCAAATACGGCAAAAAAATGCAAGTTGGGAGATCATTCACCACCCCAAACCTTGATGTGGAGGGGGAAAAGCAGGCAAAAGATGAAAAAGTAAAGGAAATGGTAGAGAAGGATTATGTTCAAGGCCCACATGTTTACGCAAACATCGATCCACAGAGCGTCTATTCCCTGGAACAACCCATTCCTGAAGTTGCTCTCTATGACATTGGAGTTCAGGCTGATCTTCCAAATCGATTGAGAGGTCTTAGATGTCGCTTAGAATTTGAGCGGCCAGGTGTGGAGCTAGGCGACAAAGGTCAACTCTCCTGTGAGGCTTTTAAGGAACGATTTGATACACTGAGTTTTAAGAATGTGGGAGGAGGAGACGGAGGAGGAGAAGGAGAAAAAGCAGATAGAGACTTCAAAACGTTGAGCTTTCGTGTGGCATTCAACAATAAGCCAGCAAGGTCTGCCAGTACCATCTAGGCATGGAATGGTTCTTACTTTCGCTTTTTTTCTTTCCTCCCTTGCTTGTTTTTTCTTCCTCAACTTCTCTTTCTTTTGTTAGTTCTATTATCGTCTCCGACAAAATATGGTATAATGTGAGTTAGAGAAGTGTTTCTCTCCGTAGAGCTTATAAGACTGGTAAGTTTCTGGTCTCTAGAAGCAAAAAGATCTACCTCCAGTCACCTTCTAAATAGGCCCTAATTTGTTTTCCCACTGCCTATTTTGTATGCTATTACCTAAGTGACAAGAAAGAGACAATTTCTTCGAGGGATATCATAAAGGAAAACCCGGGGGATGAGAAGGAAATGACGACTATTCCCTCCACCATCATTTTAAGAATAAACAGTTTTATTCCAGGGACCTAGCAGTTTCTGCTTAGAAGTAGACTTCCCTATTTAGGGACCCTCTTAATTGTTCAATAAGGACATGAATATTTTAAGGTCATTATCATCCAAAAGCAGCTACTAACATGTGAACTTGACTACAAATCCTCAGCATTAATATATCAGAGATATACGAAGACACCGTACTTTAGGTGTACGTTGAAGTTCACATGTTTGATTTGTTGGCTGGTGACACGGGGGTGTCGGTGTTCGCACGACTGCACCAGCGCATAGAATTGTAAGCTATTGAGGCACTTGTGCGTCCACTTCTTGTCACAAATTAATCAGATCATCTTCCAGTGTTCTTTATTAATATGACTTATTCTGCCCATTTAGGCATAAATAAATCACGTCCACCCTTATGTTTGACTTTAATCGCGAAGTTGAGTATCAATGACGATGGTCCATTTTTCATGATCAGGGATGGAAAATCTTTCATCATCGCCATTTGACTTATTTTACAATGACATCTTCTTTAGGTGTTCAATTCGTAAAATATTGGTTTGAAAAGGTCTGTTTAAGTCCTGAACCGAACAGCTCCTTCGATATTCTGCTTTAAAGGAGGCGAAAACGAATCCGAAGAAGCATTCGTTAAGATTAAACATGCAAGCAATGCTGGAAATGAAAGAAAAAAGGAAAACAGTAATATTGATACTGATAGTGAAGTGGGATTAAGGGGGGAACGGGCGGTTCCTTAAGCAGTCCGAAGGCCTCAAGATAGGCATGTAAATTAGTAAGAAGACAATTTATAAGTAGTATAGCTTTCAACAGCATTGACAATAACGACGATGGCAGCGATGAATACAGTGGTGACACAATTAGACAAAGGCAGGATCCGAGAAGAAGGCAACAAAATCTTCAAAGGTGAGACCCAAATCTGGGGAAACTCCATAGAGTTGCATTAGGTTTTCAACCACCTGTCGACTGTTTGCAATTGCGCCTAACAAACTCATTACCTCAGTAACCTCCAGTCGACCCGAAGAGTCGGTATCGAAGGAGCTAAAGACTCGTCGAAGGTTGTCGATGCTGGCAGTAGAGAGAAGAGTAGTTTTAGTGGTGGAAGTATATATATTACAATTAGCATATCTTCAAGGGGTGGATTATAATTGCTGATTCCAATATTTAAGCAAGCAAGTTTATGCATTATTATTCGAGGCTGCAGTGCAAATTTTGGAGATGTTTAGGAATTTACATTACGTAGGATTTAGATTGTTTGTCAGTCGGCATTTTTAAACAGCTCTTTTGTGTTTTTTATAAGATTAGGCAATAAATACTCAGCTTACTCGACACTGTCATCAGGAAGTCTTGCTAAGACCATGTTGAATTCTTCTGCTGTGATTTGACCATCTTGATTCAAATCAAAGGTTCGCCAGAATTCCTAAAATGTGCTCAAAATTAAACTTTGTATTCTGTTTAAATTACTTAACTTATTCCAAGAGTTATGAACTTTCTACAAAACCGCTTCTACTGCATCGAGTAATGGTCAACTTAAGCATCATGTGGTGTTTATGGAAAGTGTTTATTTAAAACAAAAGAACTAAGTCATTTTGGCCTCACTGTTAAAAGGCACTTATTCTACTCCTTTTTTGTCATGATTTAACAGTTCTTTTGGCTACTGTCTTTAGCTGTTCAAGCTATTCAGTCCAAGCGTTCTCAAATGCCGTGATCTTTTCGACGCGTCTGTTGGGTTTGAATTCCTCTGTAGATTTATAAGCAGTCCCGTTTCATACTATTATGGGTCCTTAAGGCTTTAGAGAAAGCTCGGATGGCTTATTATATAAGAGAAAAATAGTATTTAATTGTATGAAATAAGGAAAGAAGTCATCTGCTGCAGGTAGCTGGCTCCGTGAAGATTCACTATGGAGGGCTCGGAAAGATATCTGTCTAGGTGACATCCGCTAATCCGAGGTCTACACGACAAATGGAAATGGTGCAAGGCAAGGTTTCACTGAACTGTAGATAACCTCACAAAAAGATTTTCCATATTTACTTTGGCGAGATACATCGTTTATGCCTCAAAAGCGTTTTTGCCTCATTGGAGTGCACAAAAATTCTAAGCTCTGTATTCTAATTATTGCATCGTTCCATGTGTCCAGCTTTGAGGGAGACTTAGAATGTCTTTCCAAGCTCGATTTTTCTAAGAAATATAGTAATGATATGTAAATGGTCAATTTGCCCGTCAAAGTACTGTTAAGTAGTTTATAAAACCCCTATATTCAAAGAAACTAGGCCCTTATTTTACCAATCTCCCATCTTTCTTTTAATAATGCATGAGCCCCTGAAAACAGCAAAAGTAGTGCTGCTCTTCTATAAAATGAACAAAACAGGGGAATTTACTCTGATAGCGGAGGGGTCGTAGCGATGTCGCTGGAGGTACTCGTTCACCTCGTTCATGTGGAGAATACGATCGCCGTTGCAGTCCATGCGGTTAAAGAGCTCCACCAGCCGTTCCCTTCGACCAACATCGTGACGTCGACGCAGACGGGAAAACATAGCAACTTATGAACCCGGAGAAGAAAGACAGCTCAGCAGACCTTTAGGCAAATTTAATAAGCTCTTTGTTTGAAAAAGGTAAGATTTTGCTAATAACTGCTGATTTTAAAAGAGAAGTTTTTGGTCCTATTCATGCAACGTATGGGTAAAAAGCTGAAGAATATGAATTTGCCTTGGAAAGAGAAACAGAAGTGGCCTCACCTTTCTCAAGCCCACCTGACGATGAAATGAGACGAAAAATTAGCTCTTCAGCGCACATGTTGGAACGCAGTTGCGTAGTTAATAAGGCAAAAGAACGCGCAACGCAAATAATAAAATAAACTGCAAAGTACTCTCTCTTACACAAAAGGTGACCTTTTAGCGGCTACCTGAGAAAAAACTTGAATGTACTGAGCCTCAATCCAGGTCATGTAGAAATGGGGAGAAGTTTGGCGCCAATTCATGTCTTTAGAACATAGGATAGAGCTTTCGTCCCTTAGTCGCTTATGCTTCTATCTCACTTTTGCTGCCTCCTCTGGATTTACAAGCCTCCATGTGATCGTGCATTTGTCTACTGCCAAGAAATGGTAATTAAATTCAGCTACAGACATACGGCAGTCGAGTTTTAGCTGAGGCACTCCCTCTCACATTAATTGGTTTCGCGGTGGTGTGGGGTCCTCAAATGTTTTCCTAACTGCATTTTAGACGAAGAATTACTACCTTTTCATTGCTTTAGCAGTATCATGTGAATTGAATATATCTTAGCCGCAAAGTTTTGACCCTAACTGGGTAACTGAGCAAGCAACTGCTTTTATGGTTTACAAAGCGGAAGGTCTTCCTTGCTTTTATTTTAGCAATCAGTCAGTCAATTAGCAAACAACCTGAATGAGATAATTTTAGCCAAATAAATGAAGAAAGCTCCTTTCCTGTCAGCAGTCGTCTATGAAAAGGGCATCTACCCATTCACTCTTTAATCGTTTCCTCCCCAAATCCAGATTTCTTATCAATTTTTAAGTCTCACTATCTTTAAACGCACTTAGGATCTCTTCCAAACATTGTCGCAATCGGGAGCTCAAATTTAATGCGTTTCTTAGGGTAGACACTGTCATGACTCTTTGTGCTGGCAGAGTGATTTGAGGGTAAGGGAGCATAATTTGCTGTTGAGGCACAAATCCTTGCATGATCTTACTGAAGCAGGACTTTCAACTAGATGCTTCCTGAGAAGAAAATTTCGAATTTCATACCCTCCAATGGGGACACAGGGGGTAGGGAGTAGATCCTGGCTGCAAATACTTGAGGCTAAGCATGAATTTTCTGATATAGTTACGTCTGCAGTTCACCATACCCAAAGAAGGCATGATCTTGTCAAGGCAGTGCAGTGGTTGCCTTACGTGGTTAGACAAGCCATCTGGAGAGGACAGACGATAAATTCATTGCAATTGCAATATCATCTCTTATCATTTGCCACACAGTTAATCAATCACTTAGTTGGCCAACTTGTTCATTTCCTCTTTTCTCCGAACCCGTAAATCCCAATTGAAATAGGTGCAAACATCCTGTTTTATTAGTCCACGTTAACATTAAACTCTTTGAGAAATTATTGGCCATCACAGAGGATGTAAAACCACCTAAGGTAGTATCGCCTCTCCGCTCTCTCCTCTCTTGTCATTAGCAAAAAGTGTATGTCTTTCTTAATGTGACCCATCCAACTTTATAAAGACTTAATTGCTAAAACCCATTTAAAAACAGACCAGTTTGAATCCCCTCCACCGGGTTTATTCAATCATCGTTTGGTGACATAGGAAATTAAGGGTCCCGAGCACACCATTGTATGCCTAAAAACAGGCACACATTTGATGTGTCTCACTGTCTTGTCAACCTTTAGAGTGGTGCAAAAACCAATCCATCATATTTTGTCAAACAAAAAACGTAAAATCTTTTTTAGTTGTTACCTTTATTTCCATTTGTAACAAAAATTGCCATAGACACCCCACTAATGGAAAGATTGATCAGATGTGGGACTGGAGAGGTGGAAGAGTGGTGGAGTTTGGGGTGGAATGAAGCCTTTCCTTCCTGCCTAAATAAATAGCTTTATCGCATATCTGATGGTATAAACTGATGTTGTGATGTGGAACAATGGCTGCATCTTCTTGACCAATTTTCCTTTACAAAGGTCAAAAACTCCGGTTCACTGATCTCTCCATCTTTGTTAGAGTCCAATCCGTTGAGAAAACCCTCCACGTACTCTCTCGGCAGGGTTCCAATGCAACTTTCAAAGAAGTTGTACATCTCCTTTACGCTCACAGAACCGGACTTGTCTGTATCGAGAAACTGGAAGAGAGACCGAGCCATGTCTTCGTTTCTACATGAGAAGATGAGTTATTTTGCCTTTTTCCCCTCCTTTCCCCCTCCACCCGGCCGACTTTTTATACTTACCGAAGATTTTGAAAGAGGTAGGCGAGAAGTCCATTACGATACTCCTCGAATGAG